ATCTGCTCTTGTCAAAGATAAAGTGTCAGTCTCCGGGCCTCACCGAGGGAGGAATTTGTTTGGTTTGGACTTCATTCACTGTGTCAAGAGAACTACTTATTCTCTTCCTGAGTGGCCCTTCAAGCTCTTACTGAAAATGGCAAAGGCGGTCTACTGAATAATGCCCTGCTTGCTCAAATGCTTAGTGACTTGAGTCTGTTGCTCTTTACTGTGGAGTTTGTTGTTTGGAATGCAATCAAATCAACCCCGAACAATGCATCTAACCAAACAAACCGAGGAGGTGCCGGCTCTGGATGGGGAGAAGCTTCTTGAGTGATGGACGGCTCATTGTCTGCCTCTTCAAGGCAGCCGAGGACGTCTGCGAAGGGCAGGAGAGAGGAGAGGCGGAGGAATTTAAGGGACCCTGGGCAGGCAGCTCAGGCTGCCATGCGGAGTATACAGTCCTTGTAGATTTGAACATCGATCCCAGCCCCAACTAACCTATTATGAGCAACGGGATTGCAGAAACTTTACAGATTAGAAGGACTGGAGGGCTTGGTTACAGATCACATCACATAAAAAAGATCACAGCAAGCGGCACACATTCCTAAAACCAATGCTACTTCCCTGGGTTTTATGGCACAAAGGGCTTTATTGGTTTTATCTTACATCTTGACAATAACACAGCCAGAAAAAGAAGGGCAGAATTATATTTTGTCTCTTCTTCAGACGTAGACACTGAGACTCAAAAATGTAAATGATTGGTTCAAGGTCACGGAAGACTTAGAAGTGTCAAAATAAAGTGTACTAAAATTCCAGAATAGGGCTGGATCGAACTGTGTTTTGGGTTTTGTTGTTGTTGTTGTCTTAGCATCTATTTATTTTTGAGAGACAGAGAGAGAACACAAGCAGGGGAGGGACAGAGAGGGAGAGGGAGACACAGAATCTGAAGCACAGAGGCCAACCAGGGGCTTGAACCCACAAACCATGAGATCATGACCATAGCTGAAGTCGGACACTGAACAGACTGAGCCACCCAGGCGCCCCTCAGCTGTGTTTTCACTGATGATCAGCGGGAGGGCAGTTGCTTAGAGGAGTTTTGAATGCCTGGGGGAAGGGACAGGAAGTAGAGGGGCAAGTGAGATGCTATTGGGCCAAGATATTTTTGCAGGGTCTGCATGGCATTGACCACTCCACTCTCTCATTTTCTCACCTGATATATATTGATCACCTATTATGTGTCAGGAGTTGGGCCGGAAAGTTCCCGTGTGTGCATATGAGCGTGTCCAGAAGACAGGGTGACTTTGAAAAATGATCTCAAAACATGACATTTCAATAATATGAAATGATACCTCTTTCATACTATGACTGACTTAAAGCCTTCTTCCTAATCCAGAGGTAGATTTCCAGTGCTAAGTCTTTTGTTTCTAAATATAAATTGAAAAACCATGACTGACTGTGGACAGATCTACAGAAATAGATTTTCAGCTTGTGTTGTAAATTGTAAAGAATGTCAGATATAGGGTACAAGTGTGGCAATGTATCTAGTGGGATTTGTTGGTGAATGAGGGTTCATAAATGTTTGAAGGACGGTTTTTCTGTTAAGGCCAGTAGCCATGGGCAGAGATATTTCTAGCAATGCCTCAGAGACGCTACTGTCACATGAAATGATCCTTATGCTGTGTGCTTTCATGGTAGTAATTGTCAGAATAGTTATCCATATTTTATTTACATTAAATTCTGACGGCACCATTTTTACAGCATTTATTATATCAATGTGTGGAAGGTAAATTAATTTTTACTTGGATGTGGTGTAAAGATGGCTGTAGGCAGTGGGAAACTAATAAAGAAGGTAAAATTTTTTTTAATATTTATTTTTTGAGAGACAGAGAGACAGAGTGTGAGCAGAGAAGGGGCAGAGAGAGAGGGAGACACAGAATCCGAAGCAGGCTCCAGGCTCTGAGCTGTCAGGACAGAGCCCGACGCGGGGCTTGAACTCACAATTGGTGAGATCATGACCAGAGCTGAAGTCTGACGCTTAACTGACTGATCCACCCAAGTGCCCCAATAAATAAGTTTTAAATCACAAAAGATAATAACTGTTGATTATAGAAAATGTTAAGATATGTAAGGCTAGGGGAAAAAAACACCTAAAATTACTTGCATTCCCATTACCCAGAAATGCCAGTGTTAACATTTTAATATATACCTTTCTTCACAGCATTCTATATAGTGCCTTAAACTCTCTTTTAGGTTAACATGTAGGTTGAAAAAATACACCGTCATTATTAAACAGCCCACACAGCTTATCCATTTTCCTATATATATTAGCAGAGATTTTCAGCACTGGAACTAGAGAATCAACATTTGCAAACATTATAACAGTTTATTTATTTATTTACTTACTTATTTATTTATTTGAGAGGGAGAGCAGGGGAGTGGGGTGGAGAGAGAGGGAGAAAGACGATCCCAAGCCGACTCCACGCCCAGCGCAGAGCCCAACGTGGGACCACGTCCCACAACCCTGGGATCATGACCTGGGTTGGAATCGAGAGTCGGCCGCTCAACTAACTGAGCCCCCCAGGCACCCGTGTGGCCTCTTTTTAATTTGGTATGGGTGCCCTCTGTATATAAGAGATCCTAACCCCTGTCCTGTGCAGCAAATACTTTTGTAAGTCTGACATTTATGTTTTAATCTCTCGATCTTTTCTTGCCAGCCTTTTCTTTCCTCATGTCTGTCAGTTCTTGTTTCAGAGAAGCCGTGTCTCCTTGTACCGTGAAATCTAAAACGTACCCCCTTCATAGGCACATGCTTTAAACCCTCCAGATGTCATTTCCTTTCCTTTCTAGGACACTCATCTCGTTTTTCCTCGTGTTTGTACAAACTGGCATCTGCACTCTGTTGACCAGTCAGGTTGAGGGGTTGGCATTTGGCCCTATGATGCTCCTTGCTTCCACTTGTCCGGTGACTGAATCTACCTTCTCAAAGCCCCACATAGGAAGGGGTTGTTGTATACAGCAGCCAAGTCCAATTCCCAGGGTCTAACATGATCTATTGGATCTCTGCACTAGATATACTAGGAAGGATGCTTCAAAGGCCAGAGGGGTCCCCTTTGGCCACTCAGAGGTCACTGGAAGGGTTTGTAGAGCCTGTGGTAATGGGTGTTGTGTGAGGAAAAACCTCAGTTTGCCTCCTGTGAGTCTCTACACTCACACAACTACTATGCCCACAACATGTCTGACACCAGATTTGGTGGGGGAGGGGAGGGTTAGTTCCACACCACACAGTTCTCTTGGGCACCAACTGGGTGTCCTGCTATTCAACTCCATTCTGTCACCATCTATGTGGAGACAGCATCAGGACCCACAGGTTAAGGACTCAGTCCACTCCTCACTTCAGACCCCAACCGGCAAGTAAGTAGGTCTCCAGGTTACCCACAACTTCTGTCCAGCTTGGCTACGAATCAGAGATTCCCATGACCCCATCTTTGGATTGGATTAATTTGCGAGTGCAGCTCGTAGAAGTCAAGGGAACACTTACTTAAGTTTTCTCAGTTTACCAAAGGATACAATAAAGTATACAGATGAGCAGCCAGATGAAGAGATAGATACATGGGTGAGGTCTGGGAATGTCCCAAGCAAGAAGCTTCTAGTCCGGTGGAGTCGGGATATATCACCCTTTTAGCACATGCATATGTTTACCAGCCCCAAAGCTCTCTGAACCATCTACTGTTGGGGATTCTGTGGAGTCTGCTTCACGTAAGCATGACTGATCCTTAACTCCATTTCCAGCCATTCTCTCCTCTCTGGGGGATAGAGGGGACAGGTAGAACATTCGAAGCTTCTAATCATGGCTTGATCATTCTTGTATCTAGCCCTCATCCAGACACCATCCAGAAACCCACCCAAAGTCACCTCAGTGGAACCTAAGACATTCCTATCACCCCAGAAATCACAAGGGTTTCAGGAGCTCTGTGCCAGGAATAGGAGCAGAGACCAATGCCTCCGTTTCCTGTGATTGCACAGGAGCATCAGAGCGTGTGCGCCAGTCACGAAGAGGGTACTTCCAATGCAATTGCGCTTAAGGCTACAGCGGGGCCAGAGTAGGGATGCTGACTGAACCCAGGTATGCCCACCCTCTTAATTCAAAGGACAGTTCCAATGCCATCCAGGTGTGATGGCACACGATGATTGTGCCTCCAGGGTCCCGCTCTGACCCCTTGTCGCATGGAACAACCATGAATCACACCCATCAGCTCTCTTCCACGTCTGTACTCTTCCGAAGCTAGGCTTGTTCTGGAAAGAATTCAACCCCCTCTCTTCTGATGTGTTTTGTTTGGAGAGCTAAGTGAATTTTAATTGTGATGGGTCTGATCGTTATCTGCTAGGGGAAAACAGCGCCAGCTCCTGAAGTCTCCCCTGGACCACACCTCCGAAGAACTGAAGAACGGGAGGGAAAGTTGGTCTTTTGCAAGGTAACCGAGTGGTTGAGGCTCTATTACCTGCTTTTAGCTTGGGAGAAAATATTCTTTAAGTGGAAACAGATTGAGAAGGCACATGTCAAATGTGCAGTCCTGAGCTCTTTTTCCCCATCAGCCAAGGCTAAAAGGCAGGCCTGGAAATCCCTTTTCAAGAGCTGCGAGTGACACAATTTCATTTTAATGTACTACAAGTCCTTACGGGCACATGCCTGATTTCGTGGGTTTTTTTTTTTTTTTTTTTTTTCCGTCTGAATTTCTGATGTCAAGGAACCCGGTGTCTGAGCACTGGGCTGCTGGATTTTGGAATACGCCTTCCGTGGAATGTGCTCTTTTCATCTCCCTTCCCTAAATCTACTTTTTATTTGCCTGCATCAAGGAGAAAGAGTCCCTTTAATGTGATGTGGATAAAAGCCACAAGAAAGAGATAAAGCATGGAACGTGGATGGGGCCCTTAGGGAAAGGCAGAGCGCGGAGTTTGGGACGGCTCTTTTCACCAAAGAAAGGCGTTTTGCTAGTTTAGACAATTACAGACAAGACAACTGTGATTTAATTTGCATTAATTGAGGACTATGCCATTGTTTACAAGGAGGTTTCAGCAATGACATATGAAGGCTGATGTGAATCTGTAACCTGCAGCCACATGGATGATCAGGACCTCGATGGGGAAGCAAATAGCTTCAATGTTGTTTCAAAGCTATTTGCTTTTGGCTCTCGAAGTTCGCCGGGATTACCAAGCTTGGCTTAAAAGCAGAGCGTTTACCTGTTTTCTTGCTTTTTCTAAGGGCCAAGAATGTAATGGCCTTGGCATGATGCTGTACCAGATCCGCATCTATTCCTCTTCCGCCACTGCTTTGGGGTTAATTTCAAGGGCCTGATAGTGGATCTGCCCACTGTGTCCTCATTTGTTCGCCCATATTCCATGAGCCCTACTTACTACTTTTAAGACCAGCAGAAGGAACAGTTTATCCTTCTTGTTAAGTTGAAGAATCTGTCTTTTTCACATTACATCAGCAGTAAGCACAGATGAGAATTTTATTAAGGTGAACAAACCTCTCCCTTTATAGCCTCTGGGTTCCAAAGCTGGGTCGAGTGGAATGAGGTCAGCGTCTATGAGGAGAAATCAAGAAACTTTCACATTTTTCCCCCAACACGCTACTTTGTTGTGAAGCTTTCAACACCCACCCATTGTATAGATGGGCAAATAGAGACTTGTGAGTCCAGCAGTGTGGTAAAACCCAAAGGGAAGTTCCTAGTAATAAAATCCAGGGGAATTTTCTAACTCCCAATTATGAGCCACAGGCCTAAGGCTTAATGGAAAACCGAGCCCCATAACTTCTACTTTTCATTCAAATTAGGAAGAAGCAAGTTTGACATTCGTAAAGCCCCAGAGAGATCTCCTGAGCTTTAAAGTATTACCTGACATGCTCCATTGAGTGTTAAGTTTGGGGCAGAGTATTTCCCAAAAGCAGAACTTTTCAACACATTTCTCTGAAAATTGCCCTGGGGCTTCTCTGTGAAAGCACCTTGGCCTCTCCCCCTGAGCGCAATTCTCATGCTCAAGGAAACAAGCCACACACCAAAGGACACAGACCACAAACAAAAAGTCAAGGGGTAGGCCCCGCAGAGAGGCCTCGGCATTCCCACATGGCCGCATTTCCATATTTCCAGATTTGGGGATCTGCGCGCGCGGAGCACCAACTCTTTCCAACGTGCTGTGCCCGTCGGTCCGCCTTTTTGAGCAGTGAGATTTGTCGCGGGATAATTCTAAATGACCATCTCCTGTGAACAAAGCCAGCCTATTGAGACGAAGGCAGATGAGCTAGAAAATGGGCAGATTTCATGAGGTCTGATAAATCTTCAGTAAATTACAGCTCATCTCCCCCTCCCCCCTCCCAGAGGCTCTTTTCGTCCACTCTTTGTCTTGCTAATACACATTACACTGTGCCTGGCTTCACACTTTCAGGCTTCTCAGAGGTGAGGCCTGTACAAAGCTGCAGATGTGGAAATGGACGAGCCCTTTGCCCCAAATGTTAGCCATTAACATCAACGTGGCCCATGGAAGAATTTCACTGTGCTTCTCAGACTCCAAAGACCGCGCAACTCACAACCTGGAAGCTTAAAGCAACAGAGAGGAAGAGAGGAGGCCACTATCTCTCTACTTCATAATTCTAAGTGTTCAGGGGCGCCTGGATGGCTCAGCTGGTTAAGTGTTCAAGTTCGGCTCAAGTCACCTTCTCGCGGTTCTGGGTTCGAGCCGGGCGTCGGGCTCTGTGCTGACAGCTCAGAGCCTGGAGCCTGCTTCCGATTCTATCTCCTTCTCTCTCTGCCCCTCCACCGCTCACATGCTGTCTCTCTTTCTCTCAAAAACAAATAAAGGTTAAAAAAAAATTTTTTTAAACCGTGTGTGTTCAGTTCATCGGTTTCAAATACCTAGAATGAGAGAAAGGGGCGTGGCCTTTTTAGTTGAAGAGGAATACAGTCACGGTATTTAAAAATTGTCTTAAAGAATGATGAGAAGTGACAAGTTAATTCCTTTCTCTCCCTATATTTGGATAGGTAATGTTAAATTTCTCATATGTGCTTCGAGAAAGTGTCTGAGCATATATGAGCCTATGATCCTCTTTGAAAAAGGCACACACACAAATGGGACGTAACTGTCCTTCAAGTTGCTTTACACAAGATAAGTAGGAAACGGGGAAAATATACATGATAAAGAGTTCATTTCCTTAAGGCATGAACTATTCTTCTAACACAGCAGGAAAATGAATAATTACCCTATGGAAAAATGGGCAGGATATAGAAAGTAGCAGCCTCCAGGAAAAAAAAAAGTAGTCAATGAAACGGGGCTCGCTTAGTGGAAAAAAGATAATATTAAACAACGAGCAACCATATTTCTCCTATCAGATTGGCACAAACTTACAAGCTTACTAATACCCAGTGTTATCACATACGTGAGAAAACAGATTGTGTTCATAGAATTCTGGCAGGAGGGTGTATTTTTGGACAGCAGTGTGAATACTTCTCAGATGAAGCCTCTATCCTTTGACTCGGCAACTCCACTCTTGGGGTTTATGTTATTCATACAACTTTGTGCACTTTCTACAAATACAGGTACCAGAAAGTTTGATTGCAAACAACAGTATAGGGAGAAAGAGGGAGGAAGTCTAGATATGCACAAATAAAGGATCGTTTAAATAAAATATACAATCTCCATGAAATGGAATGCTGTGCTTCTGCTTAGGAGAAAATCTTGGGGCACCTGGGTCGATCAGTCGGTTAAGCATCTGACTTCAGCTCAGGTCTTGATCTTGCAGTCTGTGAGTTTGAGCCCCATGTCAGGTTCTGTGCTGACAGCTCAGAGCCTGGAGCCTGTTTCAGATTCTGTGTCTCCCTCTCTCTGCCCCACCTCTGCTCTGTCTCTCTCTGCCTCTCAACAATAAATAATTAAAAAAAAAAAAGAATAAAATCCAGGGGACAATTTGTAAAGCTGTCCAGGATATTAAGGGCTTTTATTCCCAGAGACTCCGTCAGCACATACCCGTCTCAGTATTATATATACGGTGACTATTAACGGTTTTAGGGGGCCATCCCAACAAGGCAGTGAGGAGAGCTAACTCTGAAGTCAGATTTCTTGGGTCAGAATTTTGGGTCGACCACTCTGTGTAGGGGTGAACTCAGGCAATGCGCTTAAGCTCTGGAAGCCTTAAAAACATACAGGATGACAATAATAATGCCCTTCTCGCACTGCTGTCTTAGACGACACGATGTCTATAAAATGTTAAACACTGTGCCCTACCCCAAAGTGTTCAGTAAATGTGAATAGATACCCCGTTGCATGCTCCGCGAATAGCAGGGTCCTGGCGGGGATGCGGTTGCTATAGAGGGCAACTGAGGACCCCTTGCACTTGAAAAGCACACTGTCCACGCAAATTATGCGTGGAAAGAACATCTGATTTCTCAGCAGTGCTGGGAGATCATACAAGAGATCTCGATCTATGAGAAGGGGTGGAGGTCACGCCCGACTGTTAAGCTATGGCCAAGTAGGTGAGAGGAGACAGGATAGGAGAGAGGGGCATCATATGACTCTAAGAGGGGTGGCTGGGAATCAGGGCAGTTGGTTCTGGGATCCGGGGAAGGAGAATCTCACAGGAGCCTTAGGCTTTGGGTAGGTGTTAATTTCCTACTCACCTGTTTTGTATTCAACACATTTCAAGCCACTTAAGAGAGAATAATTAGTGTTGGAAAGGTTGCCTGGGCCTTTTGCAAGGGTCATAGCTCCTAAGGACACGCCTCCCCAACAATTCTCACAGGGTCAGCGCCAGGGGGTCCAAGGCACCAGCCATGCACGACAATGGTGCTATTATGTCACTGATTCACAATAACTGTAACTGGCTCCAGGCAATGCGCCTTCTCTGGACAAACAGTGTTACATACGCCAGAAATAGGGTTCTGTCCTCATGGGAAAAAGATCCTATGTACTAAATATTTTGATTTGGGGGGATGAGCCTGTGTCAGTCACCCAGTGTTTCTTCCTGTGTCTGTCTCTCTACTTTGCAAATTAGGCTTCTGGATTCAGCTGTGGCTTCTGAAGGTACCACGGCCTTGGCACCCCCAAACAAACAGAACATTATGGTCAAGTCTATTGGAGATTCTGAAAGGGGTTAACACACATCTCACAACCCTTTGCTAGATGTGAGCACATTTCCCCCTCCCTTCTTTCCTGGACTGCCTTGGGCTGTTCTCTCTCTCTTTCTCCTTTTTAAGTTTACTTATTTATTTTAAGAGGTGGGGGCAGAGAGAGAGAGAGAGAGACAAAGAGAGAGAGAAACAATCCCAAGCAAACTCTGTGCTGTTAGAGCAGAGCCTGACATGGGGCTTGAACTCACAGACCTTGAGATCGTGAGCTGAGCCAAAGTCAAGAGTCGAATGTTCAACGGACTGAGCCACCCAGGGGCCCCTGAGCTGTTCCCTCTCTTAAGCCCTCACAGCTCCATTTCTTCTCACATGTCTCCACTGTGTCCCTACAACCTTGTCCCCCCGAATAAGTGTGCATCTCGTCTTTATCTTGTCACAAAATAGTTCTCAAACCTCTCTATTGGCCACACAGCTCAGGAGTGCAGGGGCCATGGCGCCATGAAACCTTCCAAATTCCAAGCTCTCCCTGCGCCTCTGTGTTTCCATGGTATCTAACCAGGAGGATACCAAGCTTGGGAGAGTCTAACCAACCCCCTGTCAGGGCAGCCCTGAGCCGCCTCGCGACACCTGCTGGAAAAGGGACTTTGGAACTGAGTCATAGGTAAACAAGGGTCTGAAGTGACTCTACCTAGAATTAGAGTACATTTCTTGGCGTGTTGTGCTTTCCGCAAGGACTCTGTACAGATTTGCCACGGCTTTGACATTTGGCTTCCACACCCCCACCCAACAGACAAGACACCAAGTCCTACCCCCAGAACCCCAAACCCTCCTGCATCCGTATTGTTCCTTCTCTCTTCAGTGACAGCGGAAGACTTTCCTCTCCATCATTCTGACCCTGGTGCCTTCCAATTTTTCCTTTTCAGTGATCTCATTTCCTCTCTCCCTCATTTCCTATTTCTGCTGTCTCTCTTTCTTTCTCTCTCCCCCCCTTGATCTCTGCCTTCGATACTCAAACATGCTCCAGTTTTCCCCAGTTTAATGAACTCTCACTGTGTCCTGATTCTTGAACTTTCCTAAACGGCCTTGGACACACACCATACCTACTTTGTCTTCCATTCAATCCTGAACCTTGCCATTACGTTCAAACAGCCTTGGTTGCAGTCAGCGGTGTTCTCCATGTGGCCAAATGGGAGCCATTCCTCAATTTTCATGTGTGCTCCCAGTTGACTCCTCCATCCTTCTAGAACATTCCATTAACCTGGCTTCCATGACTTCACAATCTTCTGATTTTCTCCTATGTCTCTGGTGTCTACTTCTTGACTGACTTTGTGGACTCATCTTCTACTCAATGCTAAGAAATTGGGGCTCATCCACATTGCTCTATGCTCTCCTCAGGCAAGTTTACCAGTCTACTAGACTTATATATGCTCAGTTTTTAAAATACTACTATATTTGGGGTGATTGGGTGGCTCAGTCAGTTAAGCATTCAACTCTTGATTTTGGCTCAAGTCATAATCTCATGGTTCCTGAGTTTGAGCTCTGCGTCAGGGTCTGTGCTGACAGTGTGGAGCCTGCTTGAGATTCTCTCTCCCTCTCTTTCCCCCTCCCCTGCTCTCACTCTCAATATGAATAAAATAAACTTAAGAAAATAAAATACTACTATTATTACCACTATCAACAATAAAACTAACATAAGACGTATTAGGTTCTTGCCATATATTAACTTTCCAGTCATTTATCATGAAGACCCTATAATAATACTCTCCATTACATTAAAAAGTAAATGGATATGGAAGGGTGAGGAAATTTGCCCAAGGTCCTACAATAAATTATGGGGCTGAGACTTAAATCTAGGCTACCAGACTACAGATATTCTTTTTTTAATTAAAAAAAAATTTTTAATGTTTATTTATTTTTGAGAGAGGGAGCATGAGCAAAGGAGGGGCAGAGAGAGGGAGACACAGAATCTGAAGCAGGCTCCGGCTCTGAGCTGTCAGCACAGAGCCCGACGTGGGGCTCGAACTCCCAAACTGGGAGATCATGACCTGAGCTGAAATCAGACGCTTAACTGACTGAGCCACCCAGGCGTCCCAGACTCCAAATATTTTTAATCATCACGTGATATTGCTGGGCTCCCAAGTTCACATCTAAAGCTCCACTGTATACCTCCAGTGATGATCCTTCTATTGAACTTCTAGCCACATGATAATAAGCTGCCAATGTGCCATCTGATCCCCTGAATCACCTCTACCTCAACATGCTCAGCTGAACCCCATCTTCCTCCAAACCTCTTCTAGGCCTTCTTTTGCCTTGACCATTCCATCTCCATGGATAGCACCCCCTCAGTCCAGTTGCTCAAGTCTGGATTCATTGATGGTGTCTTCTGTCATCATCTATTCAAAGCAAGACAGGGAGAGAGAGAAAGAGAGAGAGAGAGAATCTCCCCCCTCCCATTCATTCCTCACTTAGACCATAATCCTAGCCTCCTAACTAGTTGTCCTTATATTGTCTCCAGTCTATTTTCTCACTACTAAATTATCTTTAAAAAATGCAAATCGGTTATGTCATTCCCCCGTGTAAACTCCCCCGAACCGATTTAATGAGAAAGTCTAAAATTATTTCCATGACCAATTGTGCCCTCAGGGACTTTGGCTTCTTAGCTCTCCAGCTTAGTTTCTCAAGCTCTGCCTGGTGACAATCCCCAGCCACCCTGGTCTCCTTTGTTGTCCTCACGTGCTCTTTCTACCTCTGGGTCTCCTTGGGTGTTCTCCTTCCCAGATCTCTTGTCCCTGTCCCAGACTTCTTCATGTCTCACTTCTTGCCCTTGAGGGCTCAGGTGAAATGTCTTTCTCATCTAGTCTCATTGCACCTTGGGATTTTCTTCCTAGCTCTTATCACAATTTAAAAATAATATATTTATCCACATAATTATAATTAATGCTGTTTTTCCCAATAGACTGTAAGAGCAAGAATGCATCTCTTAATAACTTCTGTTTCTGGATCCTAGAATAATGCTTAAGAGGTAGCTGACACTCAGTCGATATTTGTTGACTGAATATATCCAACAAAGGTATGACAGCATGCCAAGCAGAAATAGCAGAGCCTTGAGCAAGGTCTAAATCAAGGGTTCTAAGGAGCACCTCGTGGGGTCAGTCAGTTGAGCGTCAGACTTCAGCTCAGGTCATGATCTCAGAGTTTGTGGGTTCGAGCCCCGCGTCGGGCTCTGTGCTGTCAGCTCGGAGCCTGGAGCCTGCTTTGGATTCTGTGTTTCCATCTCCCTCTGCTCCTCCCTCACTCATGCTCTGTCTGTCAAAAATAAATAAACGCTAAAAAAATAAAAATAAATAAATAAAGAGTTCTCAGATTGGGGTCTCCGGATCAGTCTATACTGACATTACCATCCCAGTGCTTGTAGGCAATAACTTCATCTGCGAATGGGAATCATTTCTGCCAAACAGGGTTACTGAGAGAATTAAGTTGCAGCATACATGAAAAAGCATAGTACCTTATAAAAAACTGGTCCTCAAGAAATGCTAGTATTCTTCCTCATTTTCTATTTTTCTCCAGAAGTTACTGCTATGCTATTTAAGAGACAGCATAATAAACAGACTATTTAGAAAACTGTTATCTATACAGAGACTCTTAGAAGCACGAGATGGAATTAAAGGCCTTCCCTTGACCGAAATGGAACAACACAGGTCTTTTAGAACTATCCCACCCAATTGCTTTGTTTGGAACAAACAAACAAACTTCCTTTGTACTCTCTTTTCAACTGGATCTTAGCTTAAAAGTAATCTAGAGGATCTAAACCACACATAAACCCTGGTAAGTAGATAATGGTTCTCAGCAACTGTCAGCATTTCTAGAAAAGGAGAAGATCAAAAGTGGAAAGGATTTTCTCCACTAAAGCTCCCATATAGGAGTTCTTATATTGCATCCTGTCGGGTAGTTACAAGAGATAGGCTGGCAGCCTACATCTGTTTCTAAAAGATAAACTTAAGATAGTGTGATTGAGTGTGGATTTCCCCCCCCCTTATTAGTCTTGTCAGACTCCAGCTTCTAAATTTATGGGGCAAAAATACTAATATCTAATGGCTTTAGGAAATGGTGTTTGGAAACATGACCTCCTCTTGGTACAGAGATGTTGCCATCAGTTAACCACTAATTTAAGATTCAGCAACGGGAAATAAATTCAGATCTCAGTGACAAAAATTGCCTTTGGGGTCTTTCATCTTTGTTGGTAATGCTAATGGCTAATAAAGGGTGAAGAATCCTTAACCCAACTCTGTCATTTTTATGGCAAAGGGCAAATGGACCACCCTGGGGTTTTAAAGGCTAACCACTTCAAGGATTGCTCTTTTCTATTTCCCCCGGTTAGCTCACTTCATTACCACTTGTCCACAGATTCTGCTTCTCAATGGGTCTTTGGTATACAATATCTTCTTCTCCCAAGGAAAGATGGCTGCCTTACTGGTCCCAATTCATTTCTTTCAATGAGACAACACATGAAGGACACAGCCAGTATCTGGCATCTTCTTTTCTATACTGAATGACTGAGAGTGATATATAAAAGAAAGATCTTAGATTCCTATTCCAATCCCACAGAGTGAAGTGACTTCCAAGGTTACAAGATTGCTCACAGCAGAGAGGAGGGTGGACAAAATTTCACCGTCTATCGTCATCACGATGGTTCCTGTGAACTCTTTCCCATCTTAAAGCTCAAAAATCTCTAACACTGCTTGTAATGATGACAAAAATACTAAGATTCTACCATTAAAACCTATCAGAGAGAAGCAGCAAGGAACATTAACCATTTTCTTTATTCCACAAGTTTTTGAATACATGCCACTTGTTCAATACTTTTATAAATGCTTACGATGCATCAATGTGCAGAGAACTATCACCTTCCTGTGTGTAGCTTGCAGACAATGGGGGCATTTGCGTGCCTGCATGTGTGCCTGTGTGTGGAGAGAAGACAACCAACAAAAAGTAAACACAATATATAACTTAAACAGTCTGCTAGGAGGTGTTACAAAGTATGGGAGGTGGAATCTAGAATGGGATGGTGGGAATCCCAACTCTGAAGATCATTACTGTTGTAATGGCGATGATCACAGTAGGCGACAGGGACATTACAGCGACTACTTAAAGGTAAAAGAGTTACTAGAGTGAATATTTAGGGGACGCGCACTCCAGGCAGAGGAAATAGCCAGCGCCATGTTCACATAATAAAAATTGCCCCTAAAAATGCTGTTGAGCTTTCGTAAGATCCCTCTGTTCTCTCTGCTTCCATTCTCCTCATTATAATGCCAAGGGACCATGCATTCATGTTTCCATGAATCCAGAGATGTTGACAAAAGACACATGAGGCACTTAAGAACTCCCCCTAATAAGATTCTACTCTCATTAGCAAGTGCTTGTGGCTTCACAGAATGTGACTGGCAGCCTTTTATTATCTTTTACATGCCAGGCAGGCAGAGAGCTCAGTCAATGCCACAACTACTCCGCCCAAGGGGTAGTGGGTGCTGTCTCCACATAACTATCAGCAAAACCAAGATCCATGGAAGAAAAATCACCCACCCAAGCAGACGTTACTCTATGTTCAAACCCTACAACCACTCACCCCATACTAAGCTTCTCTCTTTCTTAAAAAAAGAGTCTATACATTAAAATAGATATAAATGCTCTAAGTTATTATCAACCTGATGATTCTACATTATTGTCTTAGAGAATAAAGAGGGTTATAAAATACAATACCTATTTCTTAACCCCCGGCCCATGTCTCCGAAAGTAAAAACTTTTAGCTCTTGGTTGCAGATCTTCTGTGAAAAGTTGTACCTGTGAACGAGTTCGTGAGTTTTCCTCTACAATATTGCATTTAAAGTATACAGAAAGGAAATAAATTGAGATCTCAGAGGCAGAGGTTGTCCCTGATGTCTTTCATTTTCAGTTACATAAATGATTATTTATTTATTAAAAAAATTTCACGCTTATTTATTGAGAGACAGAGCATGAATGGGGGAGGAGCAGAGAGAGAGGGAGACACAGAATCCGAAGCAGGCTCCAGGCTCTGAGCTGTCAGCACAGAGCCCGATGCGGGACTCAAACTCATGAACCGCAAGATCATGACCTGAGCCAAAGTTGGATGTTTAACTGACTGAGCCACCCAGGCGCCCCATATATATATATTTTTTTTAACAGAAATTGTCTTCTTGGTGGCAGGGAC